TTTACTACTATATTTTTCTAGAACTATACGCACTATACGTATCACTATACGTATAGTATTATACGTATAGTACTGATTTGCCCATCTCTAGGCGAAACCTTTTGACTTTTGCATGGTTGCGAAACTCTCGAGTTTTGGAAACCAACACTAGTGTAAATCATGAGGTGCATTTCAATTTATGGATTAAATTTATCCTCCCTCCTCAAAAAAAAAAACATAATGATAATATTTGATCTTTGTATTATTTAGTGGATCATGAACGAAATAAGTATCTCTTTGATTCTAATGGATTATCGTGATCATACCATTATAAAGGCATGTAATAATGGAATGGAAAACATTACTGAAATTCTTCGAGTATTAATTAATCAACTTTGCACTTCCCAAATTTTGTAGAGTAGCATTAAGTTCAATCTAGTGTTGGTCGCCAAAACTATTTTGAGAGGTGAAAGTCAAAACTAAATTTAAAAGTTATATGTCAAAACTAAATCAAAAGTCAATAGTCAAAAATCAAAACTAGTTTTGAATTATGGCGAAACCTTTTGACTTTCTCACGGTTGCGAAACTCTCTAGTTTTGGAAACCAACACTAGTTCAATCATTGACATATTAAGGTCTATGAATTAGGGTTGGCAAATTGACTGGTCCATTGAGAGCTGATGGAGTTTAGACTGGTCCATTGCCATTAATAAATTATTAAATATGGCTACTAATGGAACCAATGGACCATATATTTGCCCTGCCATGAATCACATCTTCTCATTTGGCAATGATGAAGAAGGTCTAAATCTTTGATGGAGAAATATACTTGATGGATTCAAGCAACAATTTGTTCCATGGAACCCTCCTCTCAATGATATCTTACGATGTCATGAAATTTCAAGGGTAACATTTTTTTATTTCAGTGAAAAGAGTTTCCTTCAACTAAAATTTATTTTAAATTATTTATTGAAACAGACAGCAACTGGTACGCACAAAGATTGCAAAAAACTTCTTCGAAAGTGGCAAAAGGAGATGATGATTTTATTTTTGATTTAGTATAAGTCGAATTATGGATATGAAATTTCATTTTTTTTTGTTTATTTCCTATATTATATTTTTTTTATGCCATAGTCTTTCAACAGGAGGCATTCATTTTACCGACAATTTGAGGGTTACATTTAACCTCCACATAATCAAACAACTAATGCTAAAATGGCACACCGTATGTTGTCGGTAAAGTGATACGTACCCCTCTTTAACAACAATCCTTGTGGCATTTGAGCAACATCAATGAAGATAGTTTTGATGGTAAATTTTTAGCACCTGTTGTTTATCCGTCTTTTACTGACATGATTTTTGATTACAACGGGTAGGTATTCTTTGTATATTCACTTTATCTTGCTAATGTTGCAATAGTTAATTTTTTCATAAACTAAATTTAGATCATCTGGTGTTCTCGATTCATCCACCAACAGAAAACGAAATTTGATCCCTGTCTTATGGGTAAAAAACCAGATTTAACTATGTATACAACATGTAAAAACAAGACAGAATACTTGCTAGTGACTGAAATAAAATCACCACAATACAAAAGAAAAGGCTTCCTAGATGATAGGTATAAACTAGAAAATGAGATGAAAAACACATTGGATAAAATGATTGATGATGGAATAAAAACAAGGATATAATTGCATGTGGTCTTCTTGTCAAAGACAAGTAATCTATTATGGATTCTCTTTGGCACATTGAAAATTGACTTAGATTCAAGTTCATAATAATAAAAAGAAAAATTTCTATCTCTTGTTAAGTAAGTGTTTGCTGAATTACCTGTAAAGCTAAAAAAATTTGCAGGTAATAAAATAATAAAATAAATCCTTTTTTCCACATGATAAGTGCTCGTTTACTGTTATCATGCAACAATAAACCTTTTTTTCCAAGCGAACAGAGAACTGTTTGGTTTAGTGTGATAATGATATTAAAATGGCATAGGAAAAAATTAGTAAGAATAAATTTTGTTTATTTTACATTTTAAGTCAGCTGTATATTTGCAACAATTACTTTACAATAAAATAAATCAATATGTAATAATGGCTTTGTATAGGTGACCAATTAAACCCATTTACAAAAAATTAAACAAAAACATTTACACTTAACAATAACCAAAAAATTAAACCTTTGCTTTCTTACTAAAATAAATATCCAAAAAAAAAAATATCTTTGCTTAATCACTCTGATAACCAAATGGAGGTTAAACCCTACTGTTTAATTTCCGACCATAAAAGTGTTTATTAAACAAAAAAGGATTAATTTGTTTTAAATTATGAAACTGTTTATTACAAATATTATTTGTGAAAAAATAATTTCATATTAACTTTCTGCCTCTACTCTCAAGCAAGGCTCTGGATTATTAATATAGGATTATTTAATTAACTGGTTGATTGATTGATTTCTTTCACTTGGTCAAATAATTTTTATTTTTGTTCCACTAATTTAATAAAATGGAAATTATAAATAAAAATGCAAATATAAAATATTAAAGCTAGTCTGACAATCTGTTTTATTTACAAAATTTCAATTTATGATTTATTTGAGAAAAAATTTGTCAAGGAATTTTGAAAAGTTGTAGAAATTTAGCAAGGTGAAGGTTGATGTATCTATCAATTTTAGGTGTGCAAGATAGATATATATTTAATTCACAATACATGATAGAAGTAGATGATCAGTACATTTTTTTAATAATAAAAAATGAGCATAGTGGACATTCCTTTTATCACATGTGACAAAATCGATCATTGATCTTTTTTATATTGTGAAACTTGCTACCAAAAAAAAAAAACCAATAGGATAAATAATTAATGTGTACATGTTGATCAAATAAAAAACTTCTTTTTTTACTTTACAAAACATGTCACTCCAGCAAAAAAGAAGACAAGAAACTGAGGCTGAAAAAATATATGGGTAAGTGTTTTAAGAATAAGGATGGTGGTGGTGGTTATCACCCACCACCACTTGTCATTACTCTAGTTGCCATATAAGAATGGTGATGGTGGTTACAATTGTTGCAATGTGTCATCATTGTATATATATACTTTGCTTTTAATTAATTTTAATTTAATAATTCTGCTACTATCAATATGACTAGAGTGACTAGAATGACTAGAACAGTTAAATTAAGAGACATAAGCAATTATATTCTTTTCAAATTGATAAGACTATAATTGCTTTTATAATTATTTATAAAAAGCAACTCTATACATGAAGGAGTTTTATAATTGTATATTGTTAATGCACAACTAATTATTATGTATCAAAACAAACCTTGAAAGAAACAAAGAAAACAAGGATCTTGTTCATGGTATGTTGATTGTGGGTCAAACTTATGTCATAATAACTTTTCGATTTCACCTTTCAACATCTTTTTCTGTTTTGACCTCCTATACTAATCTGCTGTTATGATCTAGAGTTTGACATAATCATTATGCCAAAACGAACAAAATAAGTCAAATGGGTGACAAATATAAAGTGTGTGACTCTCAAAGATTTCAAAACATCTATTTTCAAAAGATCCAAGAATCTAGTACTTAAAAAGGATAATAATGGCACATGGCTAGATATTACATCTAATGGTAAAAAATATTCACCTCGAAACAACATGGAGTTTCACAATGTACTTCAGTTGTTTGTACAAAAGTGTTGCTTCAATTTTGCTGTATAAATTAATGATGTTAGCCGGCTAATAATCTGCATACATAATTTCTAAATTTGGTAATAGATTTCTGCGTTACTTTCTTGTTATAGAAATCAAATTACCAATTTAGGTAGTAAACGGCTTAGCCGGCTAAGGATTTTTAAATGGCTAACATCACTAGTATCAATAAGGACCTTGTCTATTCCATTTTCCAATTGGTCATTTTTAAAAATGTGCCAATTATATTATGGAACTAATGATTTGTCATTAGCCAAGTTTCCATTTTTTGATTGTGTATCTATGGAATTACATTGTGACAAATCACAAGAAATTATAAGACATCTTATGAATGATTAGACTTCCGTCTCAAGACAATCCTGATCGAAAATGAAGCATCAAAAAGTCAATATGTTTGTGCATATCTCATGGTAGCAGCAAATTTATTTGTAAACAAATTTGAGATCCACTTGGAAAAGAACATATCGGGTCTGAATGGCCATGGACCTGTGGATTTCGGGCTAGTCATAGCTAAAACCAATAAAATCATTGGAGTAACCAAAGTAAAAGCAAAAGATTTTATGCAAGGAATTGCACAAAATTTAGTGCAGTGCGAATCAGCTTTATCAGATGACAGTAAAGTTTTTGGAATCATTACAGATTCCCAAAAATGGTTCTTTTTGGAGTGTTCATCTGGTAATGAAGGAAAAACACAGTTCAAATTATCCAAACCTGTAGTAGATGTATATGGAGATGAGGATATGGAAAGTAGGGTAAGAAAAGTTATTGGATATATTGCTTGGTTGCTTCAAGAGGCTCTGAAATCAGAAGGATTAAAAGATACATTCTTGTCTGTTAATACAAAAATACAAGAAGTTGATCATATTTCTTCAACAACATGAAATATAACAGACTGATGAAAATATAAATTCATTCTATTAAATGAAGCCTTCCAACAACGGCTTGTCTTAATTGCATAGGATCTTTGCATAAGCAAAATAAAATAAAATAAAATAGCAGTCAATGATCACATTAATGTGATTCTTATTAACAGAAAGAAGGAAAATAGATATGTATTTAAATTATGTTAATTAATTAATCAATTTATTATTTATAATTCAGATGAATAAAAATAGTTAGTAATAATCTTTACCATGGTTCTTTGTAATTATTCTCTTTTTTTTTGGAGAATAAAATTTCGAGTAAATTATTCAGTTGAAATATTATATAGTGAAATCATAAACACATTTTTTTAACCATGTAATGATTGTGGTTTTCAAGAGAATATCTTAACAATTATCATCATAAAAATCTATCCCACAAATATTTCGATACAATAAATAAGATTTATTATCTTTGTTTAATAATATTGAAATTAATATTTTCTTCAAACTAGTTAATATTTCCAATCCAAAAAATCTAATTTCATAATCTTTGTTTTTTACATTATAATAAGTAATTCTTGGGTTCTAACAGTAGACCCAATGTAAATTAACTCTGTATTAGTATTGTTATTTTTATATAGTATAACAAATGGGACTAATTATGATGGTAGTAATAATTAAATTATGATCCCTGAAATTCTTGGTAATACCAATGTTCACTTTGTTTGGTTTTGTTGCAGTATGCCCTAAATGATTAAAAACAGAATTATAAAAATATTGTTATATGATTATATCATATTTATATTTAAAATGACAATGTACTTAAATTCTTTATCTGCTAAAGAAAGACTTCATTAATAACCAATCATTAAAAAATAATAATAAATAATAATAATAATAGCCTATATTTTCTTTCTTCTGCAATTGTCACTGTTATGTATATAGTAATTATAAATATTACATTACACAATTAGAAGAAAAAAAAAATATTAAATCACAAAGAGAATTTATTTTCATTATTTATATCATATATTTTTCTTAACATTAATACTAAAAATGTGCTCAACATACATTAATTCCTTAATTTTTTTTTCTAAGACAGTGTTGTAATTATTGGAACAATATTTTGTGACCATTCTTATCATTCATTATTTAAAAACGCATATATATGTATCCTTTAATGAGTCTTGCAATATCTATTTTATATATAAACAAAAAGTAAAGTTTATTAGTAAGAATATAATCACAATATTAAAAAATCATATAATCAACTACTTATTATTAGTTTTCATTTTATTAATATTTTATTTAAAAATGTACAACTTCCAACTGCTAATTATTTATTGTTTCTTTATGAAACCATATCTAAAATTTTACAAAAAATCTCAAAGAATGTGTGTACAAAATATCACGTTCCTTGTTAAAAATTACATGTGGGTGTACTAAAAAGTTCTTTCGATTTTAATATATAGTAAAAATTGACGTGTTTCACAAAAATTTTACATAGACATGTCGATCGCGTGAAACCTTGTCTGACTGTTTGGTTTTGAAAATTTATCCGTTAAAACCCCGGATCGACATATAGGTTTTTATCTACTTCTATCACGTATCACGAATTAAAAAAACATTACTATTACACGCTATTATTGATATGGATTGCAGATATTGATGATATATTTTTACTTTGTTGCAGCTCAAAAATTAGTTTTTTTAAAAAATTAGGACATTTTTTTAAATGCCGAATTATTCAATCCTTTTTGTTTGTAAACCATTTTTTCTTCCCTTACTCCCCTCCTAATTTTTCAGCGCATGCTTTAAAAAACGTTTTTGGATTGTTTGGCTGTTTTATATTGGTTTTAATAATATGTTGGGTTAATAAAAGTGGTAAAGGCATTTTCTCACGTTTAACTTGTGGTTTGTACTGCTAGCCCCGGACATATTAATGGTCCGGGACATTTAAGAAAATGAGCGGACACGTCCGCATGACAAATTATTACACGAACATTGTCCGGACATGTCCCATGCACAACATTGATTTAAGTTATACACAATTTTGTTGATTAAAGAATTTAAAGAATTGTTACACATCCATAAAAAAAAAATTATATTGTTATTGATAAAAAAATTTTCAAATTCCTAATTCTTCCAATTCGTTCATTTTATAACACGCCAATTTTGGAGTCAACATAACAAAACTTGTACAGGTTTGGAACTTAATTCCTACATATCAACAAAATGAGAAAAATATCATACGGCTTTTTATGCAAAAACATGAAAACAAAATTCAAAACACTAATAATAATGTGTATGAACCTATCATATCGTTTCAAATCTGTAAATGGCTTAACCAGATGTAGAAGTAATAAATTATGTGAGACGCCTAACAAACTTTCCATGTTTTTATTTTGCGTTAATAATAACAAACAAACAAACAAACAAACAAACAATTGTTTTTTGTCTAGTTATAGAAAAAAAATAATAGCTTTTTTTGTTAATTATAAATCCAAGTTTACTAATTTAGAAGTCTAATGGATAGAAATTCGTATTCAATATAGTTTGAACAAACCCTTATTCAAATGGAAATCCCAAAATCATTCAAATAGGACCAGGAAGTAAAAAATCGAACTCCTTTTTTAGTAAGATTGTTTGGATAGAGATATTCGAATTATTTGTTTGATAGTTTGATTAGTTTGATAATTCTAACATTCAAATTGATTACTTGAATCATCTTTTAAAATTTTATACAAATGGAAGTATAAATAAGGGAATTTATTTCAAAGCATTTAACCCACTTTCCAAAATTGTAATTCGAATAAATTATGTAACCATTTTTAAGTTTAAATTTTTGTGCAAATGGAATTAAATATAAATAAATACACGTAAAGATTCATTCAAGTAGAATTATATCGTTTTAATAAATTTTATTTGTTTGAATGCTAAGCATTTTATTTTCGTGAATTATAATATTGTAAAATTGAAATAAAAAACTTTTAAAGTATGAAATCTAACTTATGTTTATAAAATAATTTTGTTATTTGGAGGCTAATTTTTTTTTGTTTTTTTTTATCATAGAAATGTCAGAAGAAATTGTTAAACAAATGGTTAGATTTGTACAGTCATTGCTAATCTCGGTACCTCAGTATGTTTTAGGTTCCTTATCTGCAATAGCGATCTTAGGGGCCACACCGGTGGGTGGTTTTAGAGAGAAAATTCGATGGATATTTCTGTGTTTAGGGGCCCCTATAGAGGGCCTCTATTACTACTGCAATGTAAAGAACGATGCGATCGTTATGAGCGCATATTGGCTCAAAGATGATCATTTTTATGAAATTGATGAAAAGACAGATAATGGTGTCACAATACTCAACTACAAGCTTTTTGGATGGCATGCTAAACAAATGAAGCTCACCCCGGAACAGGAAGAATGTATGAAAGGATGTGTGGCTGGGGCATCAATATTAGATCGTCTCAGTTACATGGTATCCATTTACTACATAATAGTAGGGATACTTGCAGGTATAATCAGGGCAGTCGCACCATGTATCAAAGAGGAATGGCCATATATACCACTAGCATTGGCTTGGACTTTGCCAGCAATTTTTAAGAGAGTGATAGGAGGAATAGTGGTGGTCCATAACCCCAATGAAAGGATTTTTAAGCTTGGGCAAATAATAACAAGTAAATCAACAAAGGATAGAAGACATAACATTATTGAGACTGGTTTATTCGCAATTATAGCTCCTTGGCTGGCAGTACTTCTGGCCTATTTCACAAACCCAGTCGGGTATGGATGTAGGAGTAGATTTCTGACCGTGTTGTGTGGGGTGTGGACACTAAATAATGTGATTTCACTTTTATTCAATATTACAAGAATACGTGGCAAAAATATCCGATTCTTAGTTCATTGTTACTTTTGGATTTCTGGTGCATTTGTAGCATTTATGCTACTTTTCTTAATTGTGCTAAGTAATTCAAAACCATTGTGGGTAAAAATTTTTGGAGACCTTTGCGCCGACCCAAATACACCTTGTTTGAGCATAACAGATATTGTAAACCAGTAATTAATTTTCTGTTGCATCATTACTTACGTAGAACATTAATTTTTTTTAATAATAATTTTATTCGGAATCTAGCTAGATTAATCATCAAACAAATAGTTTAATTAATTTTTTTTTTTTCATGTATTTGTATATTACTAAATGGAATCCACCTAATTATTTTGTATTCAAGAAAAAATGTGTATATTTCTTCATTTCCTTTTGCATTTTCAACTAATTTATAACGTTTTTTCTTTATTCTTTTTGAATCATCAATGAAACCACATTAATTATATAATAATATAAATTTTCAATTGATTCACAATCTCTACGATAATGTTAATATTAATATTATAAAATTTAAATGATTTATTGTCGATCAATTCATTATGATGAGTATTGATTTGAATACTATATATATGGTGCAAGTCACCTAGTCCCGCAACTTGCTGCGCCTCGTGGCCAATTTTGGGAAAAATCATCAAAACTCAGAAATTGTAAGTTATGCTCAAAAATGCAATAAAATTTTATATCATGTGACCTTTAATGGTGATACA